AATATAGCACTGAAGCAACTTACGTACGAATTCAATCAACGGACGGTCCTTCGGAACGTAACTCGTTCGTTAGCTGGGGAGCGTCTGTAATTTAACTGCAAAAATCAAATGTTTTATTTAAAGGACAGATTCTTAGCAAATTTGTCTTCAGGCGTGACCACTGACCACCCCTGGCTATCACGCACGTAACTTTGACAATGAAGTTTGTCGGTTCCGTTTGCTGTCTGCATTGTAAATGGATCAATGGGCTGCTCCCTCTAAATTATGAGCTGGTCTCTTTGGGGGAAATGGAGGGATACAAGAATTAAATAGCACCACGTCTACGCCAAAAGATGCTGGCCCACCGCGCATCTACTCTGTAAACCAGATTGCCAATGCCGTCCTACTGGTAAGCAAAGAGAATATTTCTTTACCCAACATGATTTCAAATTCGAAATCGGTAAAATCAGCAGTTTTCGATCCTGTTATTACCTGGTCCAAGCAAAATTTATTGCAGCCAAGTTCGACTCGCAAAACACTTATGTAACAATCTTTACACAATAATACGTTTAATAATAAGCACTTCTGATGAGTATGTTGTAATATATTTATTTATTTTTATGTTTTTGTCACGCGATTAGATAAACATTGATTCTGGTGGTATCTGAAGATTAGAATTAGGTCGGCGATATCTCCACTCAAGGCCCGGATACCAAATGTACAGCCATCTGCTGTCTCCATTAGTCTGACATCTATCCTTGCATGCTTGGATATGTGTGTGGTCTGCTTCTCTGATTGACGTGCATTAAAAATATATACAGCCCTCGAGGGATTTAAGTTATTCGAACGCATACAGTATCCGAATGTATCACGTAGTGATGGTCTTGGCCGCTAGGTGGCGCATGTGCACCTTCCTCCCACGCAGCTACTTCACCCACGTGCAGTTGTGCGTGGTTGCAAATGTGCTCAAGTGTGAACCATGTGCTGAAGCGGTGTTGTTGTTCTCGCGTTTAGATCCAGCCTCTTGCTTTATGATTGGCCACACGGTAAGACTGGCAGATCCGTTCGCCCAATCGTTTCGCGTCAACCGCGCCAGAGGGCGTGGCTCAACGGGGTTATTCCAACCCAGTTCCTTGTGCACATGCAGGCGTCCCCGTGATGTGAGTGACTTGCTGATTGAAAGTTGTACGAAAGTCTCGAGTGGACAACACTGACAGTGCCACTCGCCGCTTGTCTCGTTGCGCATCAGTTTATTGTGTCATCGCTCAGGATGTCAACGTTTAATCACATCTTTGGAGACCGAGGGGAAGTTCCTGATCTCATCAGATCCTTGGCTGACTACCCTTTCTCTTTCCCAGCTTTTGATGACGGTGGTAAGTGAGATTTGTCTCTTTTTCCCACAGATATCGTCGATAAGTCTTCAACGTAGTTTATTGTGCCTTATTTGTGGCTTCATTCACTTCTAGAGCAGGCGATGTTAAAAGTATCTCTGCTATACGGTAATTGTATAGAATTGATGTTGTGGTTTGATGCGATTAACGTCAGCCATTAAATTGTGAAACAATTATTTTGCTCATATGTGAATTTTTAGTTGTGTTGTTGTGCACACTACCTTCATAGTCTAAAATCCTAATGTCCGTATTGGTTTCATGGTTTGTCATATCGTATGTTGTTGCCAAGGTGTGGACATTCTTAATTGTCCCTCTGAATGCGGTCTTTAGCTGGATGTTTTTTGATTGACTCATGAATGCTCACAGCTATCTTTCAGGCTGAAATTATAAATTCATGGCAAAATGTTCGGGCTCCTAAAGTAATAAAGTGAAAAGTTTACTTTGAAACGCCCCCTGTTGGCTGCGAGGGATAATGTTGGCTATTTGAACATGCGCAATGCACTGTATATATATTTTCCGCATACATTTTTTTGGCCCCACGAGTGTCTTATATTGGCTTTCGTATTTTTACAATGTGTTAGGCTTTTCAGATTGTTTGAAAATGTGCAGTGTATCACCCCCTCCCGAATATTAAACAAAGAATTAAATAATCCGTCCATTATCGTAACTGCTTAATATTCTCTCTAATTAAAATATTTCCTTTGAAAAGGAAAATCGGAGTATGCTTAAAGGATGTATGTATTTGCTGCTATGAATTGGGAATTTCTCCATTGCGAGACTAATAAAGGTTTTCCTATCCTATTTCTTTTTGGGTGATCGGCGGGGGGTCTCGCTGTAAGAATGTGAATAGCCACTAGAGGACAGTATTGAGAATCAGTTCATCTTGTTTTCATATTCAATACATACCGGTATATTCAAGCGGTGATTAAAAGTGCCCACCAACACTTAACGTTGTTTTACCTTATAAAGAATCATTAGCCTTAATAAAATGCAATTAAAAAACAAAACAGTGTTTAAATACCCGTCTTTCCATCGCTACAACGGTATGCGTGCAACCTTTAAGTTAGTAAAAGATTGCTCTATCTACATTTGGACCAGTCACTCTGCTCTCTGTGTCTCCGAAGGACGGCAAAACATACACGTGCAGTGCGGCAATGTGCACTTTGAACGCCGTGTCTCTTAAATCAGTTATCTGCCAGGCAACACGGAACTTAATGGCACCCTCTCGCTGAAGAATATGCGTGCACCAGAACGTGAGAAAGAGAAACTTATAGATTTTGCTACCGTGAGGCCGCGATGAGAAATGTGAGTTAAGGGAGTTGTTTTCAAATACATACATATATATATATATATACATACATACTTACAAACAAACATTTGTACAATGTTTTTATGCTTTTAGTTGTGGGTCTACGTGGTCTTGGTAGGTTAATGAATATAATAATACAATGTTGTAATTTTAGTATTTTGTAGTTCAATTTTATTTGACAAAAAGTGGCAGCTGTTGCAGGACGAGACGTCGGTTTGCTGCACGTGCCGAGCAGCACGCGTGGAGCAGCACGTGGCCACGCCCCCCACACGGTTTGTACTGTCACGTGAGTGGGTGAGGGCGGAGGGCACGTGTTTTGCCACGAGTGTTCTCGCGACTCAGTGCAGGCGAGGTTGAAACCCACGTACGGTACTTTTCAACCATTTTTTGTGTGGTTGAAAAGATGGTGAAAGTGAGAGGCTGTAATATAGCTGCGGAGTGGTTTGTGAGCACATTGTAAAGATAACCGTCGTGTCTTTTCAAGAGTCGTTACAGGGTTTGATATGAATTACTCACTACCTTTTTTAGACTCATTTTTAGATTTAACTCGTGTTTAAAAATTAAGGCAGTTTTCGCTTGATACGTATAAAATACAATTTTTAAAAAAGTACAAAAATAAAGACCAGTGCGTAGCCCTTGAACACAGTGCCATCACATGACAGGATGAACAACCAATATGCTTCTACTATGCCCTAAATGGGCGTGGCTTTTGCCTCATGACTATCCGACACACGCTCTGGATGGGCACGGACTGCACAAAGGGTAGCAGTGTAGTTTCCGCATCTCGGTACCCCATTGTCGACAGTTGGATTTAAACGTCGCAGAAATTGGAAAGTGACCCATAGTATCGTTGATAAATATAAAGATATATTTTAAATCCTGCGGTGAACAATGCCCGGTAAAGCAGCGGTGGCTGTCGCGCTTCAGCCCGACACAACCGTCGACGCAGCGGCTAAGCAGAAGTCTTTCCCGTTTGTTATAAAGAAGATTATGGACATCCCACCTCCCAACATTCTGGAGGAAGGCGACGACGGTAAGACCTCTGTGTCAATAAAGTGTCCGTGAATGTGAAGTGTTCGTTCGGTGCAGCTCAGAAATCGAAAAGAACAAAAAGTTCCAAGTGCCATGCTCTGCGTACCCACACTATAAATACGCCCAATCACAACCCATTTACGGCGGATTCATGTTGCATCTTTCTCTCTTGTTTCTTTGTTCAAATTTTTTTTGAGCTGCGTTTGCAGACCAAGCAACATTCTGTCATCTTCGTATAGTGCTACCGAAACACCCCGTCTGTCACTAACATTGACAGAAGGCTTGGTTTCGCGTTACAACCTTTATCCCGATCGGAATATCAACGGGTATGATCATAGACGCCCCTTTTGATGAAATGAACTCCTGTTCCTCTTCTGTTGAATTCAGAGCTCGAGAAGGAGAAGCTGGGCTCAGCTGATGATGTGGTGGGGGGCGGGGTTGCTGCAGCCAGCGCTGGTGGGGCTTCTCGAGGAGGCAGTGGGGGCAGCGCTGGAGGGGTGTCAGCCTCCTTGACCCCAGCCATTTGGGAGAAGACCATTCCCTATGATGGGGAGACCTTCCATCTGGAGTACATGGACCTGGATGAGTTCCTGTTGGAGAACGGGATCCCGGCGAGCCTCGAGGATGAGGAGCTGCAAAAGACGCTGACTCCGGCTGGAGGGAAAGGCAAGAGCACCCTGAAGGTTACGGCCGCAGCCAGCGCGACGACAATCTCGGCGCCCACGTCTCCCCCACCTGCTCCCGACACTTCTACGGTCACCTCAGAGCCAGAGGAAGCGGTGATTGTCACCACTCTCCTGCCCGCCAAATTGGAAGATGATGACGAAGAAGATGAGGATCAAGAAGAGGAATCTTTGCCCCATGAGGGAAAAGCAGCGGAAGCTGTGGAAGTCAACAAGCAGAATCCTGGTGAGAAAATGTGCATTCATGTGGTCGAGGGTTGTCAAATTCATTTTTGTCACGTGCCTCATCAGAGTTCTGGTTTCCCTCAGAGGGCCATTATGACAACGAAAACCATTTCGTTTGTCATTTAAACTGTAGTCATTTCATGGGCCGTATCATCTTGGAAAAGTTGTACCTCACTCTGGCTACAAACTAAACTGTGCAAACAATCCATGGACAGTCGACAAAATGTAGTGAAACTGATAAAGCCTTGACCTTTGAGCGCATAATATTAGCAGTTTTTATAGCTTCTTTGACTTATGGTTAGAGTCTCCCTTTCGTAACTCTTAATGCATCATCCAATAGGTTTCCTGATGGGAAAGAAAAGATTACAGTGGAATCGCTACTGTGTCTGTAGTGTTGGTGGTTGTCATCTGAGCTTGTTTGAAATATTTATAAAGTAATACTAAAAAATGAACCGGTACATACATTTAGTTATGCGCTATCCAATAAAGCATACTTGCATTTTGTTATGAATGTTTGTTCGAAGCTCCACTTTCCACGTGTGTACCGACAGTGACTGGAGAGCGTAACACGCCATCTCCCATCAACCCAGATGAGATTGAGGTGGACGTTAACTTTCAGCCAGATCCGACCGACCTGGTCCTGTCCAGTGTGCCGGGCGGAGAGCTGTTCAACCCACGCAAACACAAGTTCTCTGAAGAGGAGCTCAAGCCGCAGCCCATGATCAAGAAAGCCAAGAAAGTGTTTGTTCCCAACGAACAGAAGGTATCCTGACTCATTTGCGAGCGTGTTTGCTCCAAAAACGGTGACATCATTTGCTGTAAACTAGGGCTGAAATGAAACACATTCAAATGAACATCGTAATGTGGTGGAATGCAATTTTCAAATCGTGAAAGGCTTCAGTTTGGAAAGAAAAAAGGCCTCTGCTTCATATCAGTCCTTGGGAAAGGCTTTATTCTATCTATCTATCTATCTATCTCTCTCTCTCTCTCTCTCCCCCCCCCCCACCAATTGTGATACAATGCTTCCACAAATATATCGGTTTTGTAAAAGCTGTAAAATAACGCTCTTATAGCCTAAATGCATTGAAAATTAATTTGAGTGATTTCTCCAGGATCGTTAAGGGTGGAGCTTAGCGATACCGTTTTTTTTTTTTTTTTAAATTCAGCCAGGGCCCAGTTTAGTACGTGGGCTCGCTACCCATCCCTACTTTTCATTCTGTCTTATTTATGCACAGGATGACAAATATTGGTCCAGGAGGAAGAAGAACAACCTGGCCGCCAAACGTTCCCGTGATGCCCGGCGTCTCAAAGAGAATCAGATCACGGTGCGTGCCTCCTTCCTGGAGCGGGAGAACGCAGCCCTGCGACAGCAAGTGGCAGAGATGCGGAAAGACTGCGGCCGCTGCAAGAACATGGTGGCCCGCTATGAGGCCAAGTACGGTCCGCTGTAAAGACCTGGTAAAAATTCAAATTATCAATCCGACAAAAGCAGAACTTCCTTCCTCGCAGAATTCAACACAGACACAAACACATAAGGGAAATCTAAATTTGCACTCCTGCTGACCTCCGGTCACTGTGTCGAGCTCCGGTCGCGGGTCCGAACCTGGAACTGGAGTGTCGGATACACACTTGGGGGCGAGGCTAGGAGCGGTGGTCACGGGAAGGTCTGTGGAGAGCGCCTGGCTCCTTCACTGAGAGGAAAGCGACGAGACTCCCACGGAGAGAGACACAGGAAAAAATACGGTTGTCTCGAGATACTTTCAAGGAAGTCAGGAACTATGAAAACGACAGGCTGATAACGCATAGTCACACTTTTTTGTTGTTGTTGTTTTTTTTTAATCACTGCATAGCACTTCCTTTAGTGGACCAAAGCACGAGCGCCATCAGTTGTGAATAGAATTGTGTCGCACTTACATTTGTGTCTGATTCCTTTCAATTCTGAAGCGGGATGTAGACATTGAGGCAGAAGAGATATGGAGTTGAAATCGGGTCGGGGGAAGGGGGGCGAAGCGATAACCTCGGGTGGTGGAGGAATGACCGCAGAGAAGCTGATTAGTTCTTCTGTCAAGTAACACGCACCTACACACACGCACACACCACATGTATAGTCATCTCCAGTGTGTAATCCCTTGTTGCACTTTCTCTTGGAAGATTCATGGTTGAAGGTACCTTATTGTCACTGTGGGAGGGACGGGAGCTTTAATAGAAAACATGCATGAAGTCCTCGTACTAATCTCAGATCAGCTTCCCGAGCCTCATCAAAGATTTGATTAGAAATATGGTCTTTGAGTCAATTTTACATAAAAACAGTGCCGCTTTTGTTTTGTTTTTTTGGGGTGGAGGGTTCAGGCGACTGTCAAAAGTATCCGTTTGAAGGTATCTTTGGCCCTCTCTTTTGTGGAGGGGTATGTAGGACGTAAGGATGTTTATTTTACTACACTCTGCAAGTAGAAGGCGCTCGGAGCCCTCACCTGCCTTTCGGTAGTGTAGTGATGACTGGATTGTTCTTAAAAAAAAAAAAAAAAAAAAAAAAACTTTCCACCTTCACTGTGACTAACACAAACCACCACTACCGTGCATTGTGTGAAGTATTCTTGACAGAAATGAGAATACCTGATGGAGGATAGTTCTTCTGTCAAGTAACACGCACCTACACACACGCACACACCACATGTATAGTCATCTCCAGTGTGTAATCCCTTGTTGCACTTTCTCTTGGAAGATTCATGGTTGAAGGTACCTTATTGTCACTGTGGGAGGGACGGGAGCTTTAATAGAAAACATGCATGAAGTCCTCGTACTAATCTCAGATCAGCTTCCCGAGCCTCATCAAAGATTTGATTAGAAATATGGTCTTTGAGTCAATTTTACATAAAAACAGTGCCGCTTTTGTTTTGTTTTTTTGGGGTGGAGGGTTCAGGCGACTGTCAAAAGTATCCGTTTGAAGGTATCTTTGGCCCTCTCTTTTGTGGAGGGGTATGTAGGACGTAAGGATGTTTATTTTACTACACTCTGCAAGTAGAAGGCGCTCGGAGCCCTCACCTGCCTTTCGGTAGTGTAGTGATGACTGGATTGTTCTTAAAAAAAAAAAAAAAAAAATGGAGCCGTCCCTAAAGGCGACTGCTCTTAAACCCTGTAAATAAATGATAGTCTAGAGATGTTTATATCCTAAAACAGGGATTTTGACTGTGTCTTTATAATCTAACGCGATTCCTTCTATTTGCCAAATAGTCAATGAGTGCTGTATTTATTCTGATGGTAATAATGCATCTGTTGATTGTGATGTACAATTTATGTCAGATTCGGGAGATCCCTTTTGAGGAAAAATGTCGAATGAAACCAATGACGAAGCAGGGACTCCACCGGGTTAACTCTTTGTTTTTAAAAACAGATTTATATGGCTAGGGGATTCTTTGTCTCCGTTCAATATATACTAAGTGTGTGTCGAACACGCACCGGGCAGGGTACACTCGTATTTACCTCATCCGCCACTTCTTGGTTTGAAAGGGTTGACTGAAGGGGAGAGCACGCGCGGCAAATGAAGTGTGCTGGTCCGTCTGGCAAAACATCAATCCGATTTTTATTGTTTTGTTTTGTTTTTTTAAAATGAGTTGTTAGACTGGCTGCCTGTTTTAATTAGTAAGTACATCACAGACTGTTACAAGACTCTGGTGTCCTCTTCAGCTATTTTTTTGGGGGGTGGGGGCTGGGTGATTGATCGGCTTGTGTGCCAATAAATGTGGCAATAATACCGTTCTATATTGCTCGTTTGATTTCAGTGATACTATGTGTAAAATTGCCATGATGTAACTTTGAAGAGGAAATGCCCCAAAGTCTTTTTGTGCTTCCAGTTGGATCCTGTGTCGTCTAGGATCGTAATGCATGAAACCCAATGTAACTTTGTCTTCTATCCATGTCTTGACTATTTTACACCAAGTGTACTTATGTCTGTAAACCTTCACTAAAGAGCAGACGCGCTTCGTGATTGGCGGATGAGTGCCGAGCATCTGTATGACGATGTGATGACCCGCATCATCACGCCGGCCCGCTTCCTGTTGGGGCAAACGTCAAACATCGGCTGTAAAGGGCATCTTTTGATCACTGTGTGGATTCTTTCCTATCAACTGCAAATTGATCTATATCTCGATGTACTGGATCAGTTGGTGCTTCAGTGTTTTCTTGATTGTCTCAATTTCAAGAGGGTGTAGTATAACGGACGCTTCTGATTTCGGAAGGTTATTTTGCATTGACATTCAAACAAAATATGCACTGCGTTGGACTGTCAGTACAGCCAATGAGTTTTTTTTCTTTTTTTTAATTAAATTCAAAGTATTGTGCATAAATCTGACTATGCACCGAGAAAATTACTGGTGTAGGTCCTTATGTAGCAAGTATTTTTCCCCAATGCGAAGCAAGAAGTGAAAATATACACAATAGATATATGCTCTAATATTTTACAAATTCCAGATTCTATTTTATCAGTCTGCTTCACTAATATTAAAAACAGAGAGAGAGCACTTGCATGCGCGGTCGAAAAGATTCCTTATAAGGTGAAGACGTGCAAGCTCTCGTTTTATTCGAGTCTACTGTATTTTTTTATTTGATGCACAACACAAACTAAAATATTGTTTCACATGTTTGGTAACGTGCATGCATCACGAGATCGATGCTCCTCGATGTAAAGCAAATTGTCAAGCACAAACTACATGAAAATGTTTTTACTTTACCTGTTTGTGATGGTAATGTGTATATTTGAAGAGAAAGGTCAAACAGGCCTGTTTTGTTTTTTCTCGGCATCGCTCAAACTTAACGGCTATTTGAAGCAGCTGCAACTATAATTAAAAAAATGATTTAATGGTATCAGGACATTTTAAGTTTTGGGGGGATTTTTTGGGGGTGTTTTGCATTACTTTCTGTAAAAAAAACAAAACAAAAAAAAACCTATTCTGTTGGTTGTTTTTGTATTGTCCTTCCCGTGTATTGATACATGACACTGCGGTGCCATAGTTCTGTATCGTCTATCATGTATAACAAAAAATAAACAAAATCAAGACGTAAAGACAAACGGGGCTCCGTTTGACCTTGACTTGTCATCACACAGCTCCAGCCCGCTTGCGCGGCTTACACGTTACAATAAATTTGCGATTTCACACGCCGTTTTATCCGCACGTGTATGCACACACGCAAACACATGGTGTTTCTGTTTGGATGCCGCACACGTTCTGCCTCCCTCCCTGCCGTTCCCTCAGCCCATCAGTATTCCAGAAGAGTTGGAGCTGTTGCGTAATGATCACATCCACACACAGGGGAGCAGTGTTGCGTAACAGCAGCGGCCTCAAAGAACGATGGGCGCGCGTGCGCGTGTGTTCACAAAGCAAAGTATGAGGATGCAAGGGAGGAGCTCTGGGAAGCCGAGATGATCGAGTGGAGGGAATGATGGAGGATCCCGACGAGGGAGGGGCTCGAGGATGGGAGAGCAAATGCTGAGGTGGGGCAAAAAAAAAGATGGCGGGGGTGGGAGGACGTAAAGGAGAGTCAAGGATGAGGCCGGCCATGCACGATGAATGTCTCACAACACGTCCGTATAGAAAGGCAGCGAGCGAGCCAACGTTACAAGCTGGTTGCGCCCCCCCACACCCCCCACCATCCGACACTACGAGCCGGTCGGTGCGCCTTGTGATGAAATCTCCAGTAATAGCTGCTGGGAGGTCTCCTGCTGAGGTGGGCGGTGCGCAATCTGGCTTCTCACCATGACAGGGAATTTCATCTTTGAATTATTGATCAAACATCACTGGAGTTTGTTTGCTGCAAGATTTGGATGCGTGACTCGAAGATTTCGCTGCTCAGAAAGACAAGAGGGTCTACTATTCAGTTTTTTTTCCCCCTTAAGCGCACTACCATGGAGATAGAGGAAGTATGTTCACAGAATGAGTTCTAATGAGACAATCTGCTTATTTTCCATGCTTACTGGTCTTTTTATTACAAACTTAAAAAACAAATCTGACACAATAAGAAACTGCAGTAGTAATGCCCCATTCCAAGAAAACAGGTCATTGCATTTCATTCGTGAAAGACTTTTTTTTTCTCCAAACATCAACAAGGTGTACAGATCGGATACAAAGTAGGAAAAAATAAAAATACAGTCAGAAAAGGAAAGAACCATTTGTACATCTTTTCAATTACACATTTAAATGCCACATCGAAAATAAACTCTTCTAACAATGAAATATTCCAAAGTGCAAAATAAAACATGATCTAAGCAAAGAACATCAGAATACAAAATCCTTGTTTTTCTTCACCCCCCCCCCCTCCCCGACTGGAGGATAACCTGCACGTAAGAGTTTGGGCTGCATCTCAAACGGGTTATTTTGATCTCACACACACACCCCCACACACCCACAATGCGGTTGCGCTCAAGTTGAAACGCACACCCTATTTGGAGTTCTTTTAAGCGCAATAAAATATGCAGGTATCCCAGCCGGGCTTCCGCAGGCCCTCTCAACCATGCAGGGCTGGCCAAGAGCACAACATTCATTTCCTTCATCCTTCCTATGTGCAGAGACCAACATATTGTGATGCGATGCAGGGAGAGGAGAGGTAGAAACCCACGGCAGGGTCTTTTTCAATTACATTGCGCTCGACAAGGGCGATTGAGGGTCTGTTTAAATCATGATGATTCGGAATATGGCTATATCACGGAGACCAGATGGTCAGACTCAAAGGGAGAAGAGGTCAATGTCAGTTTTCATCGGGAATAATTCTGCTCGGGGATTTGGTATGGATATGGCGAGTTAGCGTTTTCAGATTGCAGCTAGGAGGACAGTGATTTTGAGCTCTCTTTTGTAAACATTCCGCTCTTCAAACCCCAGCTCGAATACATTTCCCCGTCTCTTTAGACTGCCGACGTACAAAGTACAATACACATTCAATACTGGACTCTGTACATAATAGTTACATTTTTTATTTTTATCTCAGTTTGCATATATTCAGGTTACTTTTTGCAAAAATAACTTCAGCGTGTAAGAAACTAAACAAATCTGAACGCATCTGAACATAAGAATTTTATATGTACATTTTCTTGGACTTCATAATAAGTTTGCAAAAACAAAAATATATAGAAATATCAGGTCTTTTTTTTTGTTGTTTAAATTACAGGACAAAAACAAATCAATAGTTCCCTCCACATTCTCCAAAAGGGTGTGCGAGGGGGGGAAAAACAGTTTTAGGGTCTTTGGGTACAAAACACGAATACGTACATCTCAGTCTAGAGAAACATTAAATGGGCAAGACTCCATTTCCACCTTTTCAAGACATTTTTGAAGTGCTTGCGTCTCTTTAAATGACAGTGGAATGTAAAAAAAAAAAGAAAAAAAATATATATGGATGAGAGTAGAGCTCCGCCTAATAAAGTGCTCAAATTGCCCATTTTGTCCTAACACAATAGAGTTGAAGGGCCGCGACAAGCTGAAAATAGAGAAGCCCGTCAACAAAACAGAACATTCATCGACGTCCGCTTGACAACCAGGAGGCAAGAAGCAGCTTCACCTTTTTCTGCTCTCCCTCCGCATCGGAGCATTTCAAGGAGGGGCTGAACGGCGTTAGCCTTTTGCTTCGATACCATTTAAGCTCACCGGCAACGTGTTCTGGGTTTTAAAAACGTCGCTCTCAAAGTCAATACACACCGGACGCCACTGAGGCAGTGCAACCGTCTCGCTGCCTTCTTTTCCACGCCAAGGAAAAAAAAAAGCACCCCTACATCCCCAAAGTCACACCGAGCCATTTATCAAAACCTCTTGGGCTCGACGGTTGGATAACATCCCCCCGACTGCAATTCGCTGCCTGTTCACCTTCACACACCGATGACCGGGAATGTGTAAAAAAAAAAAAGTGCCTATAGCTGTGCGCACACTGTACAAGGTCTACATGTATGCTCACGCACATGACGACAGGCATCGGCACACGTGAGCACCGTCTTGTTAAGATGCAAAGCCGCCTTCCCTCACAGAGGTTCTCGCGACCTTCCCCGCTGCAATTTCCCCTGACGGATGAATTACATTCTTCTATTTGCTCACTTTGTCTCCAAAACATTCCATGGCCGCGTTCTGCCTGATGATAAACAGTCGCCGTATTTACTGCTGCGATGTCAGCGTTCAAAGGCGGCCATCACGTGATGTTCCCAGATCACATGGAGCCACGACATCACAACACATGCAAGCGCAGACAACCCCCACCCGCTTCATTCCCCCCCCCCACCCCCCTCCTTCTCCTCCCCTCCGAATAGCCAGCACGGCATGAACAGATTGCAGAGCAAAGTGCAATACTTGGCCAGGTCCTTTTCCCACAGCATGACGTGCAAACTGGAGCTTTACCACAGTTCGTGTCCATGAGATTACTTGTCATCCAATGAATAACAATGGAAATGATGAATTCAAAGCAGAACACGTGGGATGGGCCAAAAAAAACTTACCATGAGATAATGACAGTATCTTTCAATTTCTGTAGGAAAGCTACGTGTTTAAATCTCTGTAGGAAATCTAAGTGTTAGCTTGCATTAGTATTAGGAGAGTTTGTTAGGGGAAAGGAAAAAAAAAAAGTATCTGGAGCTCCTGGGCCAGTTCTTGACAAATAAAGGCTTAGTTGGCCAACACAACGGGCTGGAAGGACTGGCTTGGGTATTGCAGGTTGTAGCTCCCTAAGCCCTCAGCGAATTGAGGTTTCTCCATGTACGAGATCTCACCGTTGGTGCCCATGATGCCCACACTCTGGGATGGGGGAGGGCTGGAGAAAGGGTCAAAGGACGGGTGGGTGCCGGCGCGGTGGAGGGGCTTGAATCGGCTGGCGTGAGCCGGCATGGGCTGCGGTTCAGCATCGAAGTAAAGGGGGCTCAGGGATCCCGGGTAGACAAACTCTTTGGCGTTGGGCGACAGCTGGCTGGGGATGGGCCCGACCAGGGAGTGCATGGAGAGAGAGAGCGACTTGTGCGGCAGCATCTCTGGAGCCAACATGGCGGTGGGAGAATGGGAGAGCATCCGCTGGACAGGCGGGACTCCGACGGCGACGCTCGAGGCGCCCGCCGACCCGGCCACGCTGCACTTCTTCATTTTGGTGGAGCCAAATTTAGTGGCGGCGAAAGCGGCAGTCGTGAAGGTGATTGGTTGCGGACGCGTCGCCGGGAGGGAGGAGGCGGGCTGCTGAGTGGCAAGGTAGGGCATCCCGTTTGTAGGAGGAGAAGGGGTGGATGTGTTGGAGGAGTGGGCGGCCGGGTTGGCGGGCGAGGTGGAGGTGGGGTAGTTGAAGAGGGCGGGGCCGGTCTGGACGGACGGCGGCGTGGGAGAAGCGGAGAGCGGCGCCATGAGCGAAGGAGATAACTGGCTTCCGATGGGAACAAACACTTGAGCGTCTGGATTGAAGCCCAAACTCTTGGCTTCCTCCAACTCAGAGTCTCCTTTCCCCTCTCTCATCACCCCTTCGGGTCGCTCACCATCACTGAGGAGGCCTGGGGGGTCCTCCAGGTACAACACCTTCACCGTACCCTTCTCCCCGATCTGGTAGGACACCTCGTAGGGGTCAATCCACACGCTGAGCTCCGCGGGGACGTTTGCGCGCACCTCTTCTGTATCCAGTCCACTTCTCTTGGCGGCCAGCTCCACAACGGGGTCTCTGGGGGCTCCCAGGTGCAAGCAGCGGAACGCCGAGCCTCGAAGGGGGGCCTCGGGGTACCAGTGGCCCTCGAAACGAGACACCAGGATTCGCTCCAGCTCCTCACCGAAGAGATCGGCTCGACGCCGAGGTAGCTTATTGTACAAATAGGAGACGATGAAGTTGAGGGCAACCTTCACTTCGAGATGCATGACTGCACCAGGCTGCCGCTGCGCTCCGAGCGTGCGAGATGAGGCTCGTTTTAAAAGGGAGGTGATGCAAAGCGTAATGTCCTCGACTCTCCTCTGGCTCACTGTACACCGTGTGATTCACGTGTCACCATTTTGAAAGGCACCTTGGAGGCGGGGGTTGTTTGTCGACGTCTCAAGTGAGGCGAACGGCGACTTCGAGGCTGCAAAGATGATAAGGTGGAACAAATGTTGGTATTTCACAAGGATCAGACAATCGTTGAGAGATCAAGCAATATTTTGTCGTTTGCAATTCATTTGTATATTTGTTAACATTTTGCACCATTTCTCAGCATCACTCGACCTGAACTACGTTTGCCGTCTTCTGTGTTGTTTGTCATTAGTTTAAGTACGACATGAGTTGCATGCCAATTCTGATTGGTGAGCTTGGAAAGAGGAGGGGGTGGGGGGCGCAAAAAAGGACTCAGGATGTAACAAGGAATCAGATTCAGAACCACAACATACGAGGAAGCAGCACGGCTGTCAGAGTCACCATGAACATACACAAATAGGAATTCACCATTTTATACTTTTTAGTCCGACAAGGGCACAGGATGTACTGATGTATGTGACAGATGCGACGCGGGCCTCATAAATCCTTTATAATCTGAATCTGATCCCACGACGCTCCTCCTGCTTAATGCTTCAGTCCATTCATCCCCGCGCTAAGGCAACGTCAGATTAAAAATGAAAAACCAGCATTACAAGATGCGAGTCCAAGGAAGAATTGTAAAATGGCAGCTTGTCCGTCACAGAACTCCATTTCCCAACATGCAGTGCACACAATCCCCCCCCCTCCCCCATGCACAAAAACAATCCTCTCACATCAACTTCCCTGACCAGATGGGAATTCTTCATCTTTGAAAGATGAAACTGATTAAGAGACAATTCCATTTTTGCAGCGGATAAACTGCACATGCCGAAATACTGCATTTGAGGAGGTGAACACTTGGTTGAGTTTTAGCTCCACGTAAAGAAAAGGTGACATTGAGAGGATCAAGATGGGGGTTGGTTAGAGCAGTGCTATAAATAGGGACATATTTTGTACTATGTGTTGTGTCAAGAGTCTTTCCACTACCTGATTAAAATATGTAAGAGTTCAGAAAAAAAATCTCCAAAACAAAGATAGATTGGTATGATTAATGCATTAAATACATCATAGATCGTGCATTCACTTCGAGACATACATTACTTTCAGCGATTACCACTTATTATTTGTAGTTTCGTCTTCACCCTTGAAAACGCTTTCAGGTTTGTTTTGTTTGTTTGTTTGTTTTTACAGCACAATTGTTGCAGGCTGAGCAACCCAAGTGGTGCACTGTATTGTTTATATGGAGCTTCAAACATGTGCCACTGAGCTGTGAAATCTCAGCTACACGACTGCTCATTTTCTCGGTGCTTAATGTGCTTTAAAAACACACACACAAGAATGACAACCATGGCAGACATGTAACCATTATAATTAACACAATGAGATCAATACAACTAGCGGCCTTTGGAAAGATAATGCTTAGTTTTGACTGGCATTGTTTGAGAGGTATTGACTAATCAACATGTTTATTGTTGTGGGTGTAGTTTGCAGTGGCATGGAACTGCACTGCATCATAAGGAGGGCCGTGTTAAAAAAAAATTGTTACGAGTAACAAACAGAATCACCGTTCAATATAATGTAGTACAGATGTACACAACTGCAAACGAAAAGCACAATGATAAAAACACTGCCGAGTTGACAATGTCAAAAAAAATACCATTGTTTTAAGTGTAAAGACGGTGTTTATTTAGCTCACATAATATTGTAGAGCGTAGATGCCCGTTTGTTGTAATGAATACGGTTCAACGTTAACGGTTGTAGTCTTATAGCCTCACCTTGCTAATTTAAGTGAATTTGGATTGCAGAACCTCGCGTCACTGTGATGCGACCGAGAGAAAGCCGAAGGAAAATATCGTGAGCAAATGAAGAGGCTAATTGAGAGGCGAACAGCCAGTTGATTTCACATGGAATGTGCATCATCAAGTAATGAGGATGAGAGTCAACAACCACAGAATACACAGGACGGCCGCTGCCTTTTAGAGGCGAAGATAACATAAACAGCGAGAGCGAGACAGAGAAAAGACTAGCAATCCTTGTAAAGGCTTCAATAATATACGTATGGGTGAATAGCCTAGAGCGACAAAATAAGCAAGCGCACACAAAGACTAATAGTAAACTAAAATTAACCTTTCGGGTGCAACGTACGACTTACCTGTCTCTACTTTGCTTGCACCATTAATTTGATTCCTGTGATCTTGTTCGCATTTTATAACGTTGAGTCCATGTTTCACCTTGGAAGAGTAATTCTTTTGAACCACTTGCAAGTCTCCAGCTGACAGTTGAGTCGGAGGGTCCAGGAAAACTTTACTGGAGGACAAGCCGACGTATTTATACAGTGTGACTCGCCTACACCCCCGTGACGACAGGAACTATTTTCTCTCGATTGTAATGGCCTCTTTTCTTATACCAGTATATTTTTAAAAATATATATTATTATATTTTGTTAATGCCTGCATCAAAATTACATGCAACGCCTAAATATTATGCAATAATAACGGTAAAAAGATAAAATACAATAAACAAGTTCACGTTTTCACCACTCAGTATCGTTTAGGGATATTTAAAATCATTCCAATGATAATATCCATAATATGAAAAAAAAGTTTTCTTTTCATACTATAGTTCACAAATTGAAGCTAAGCGAATATCGCGGAGGGATATTTGTAGTTCTTTTACGGCGCTGACCGCTTGCTAAAAATATAAGCGGTGGTAGCAACAGAGTGTCTATTGGCTGAGCGAGGGGTGGGCCCACAAATTATTGGGCTGCGTTCTCCATTCACAAGAGCGAAAACGACATTTCTTTTAAACAAGGACTTGTGGGAAATGACGTTCTTTAGAAATAAATAATGATGCTAACAATGATGCTGTCGTCGTTGTAGTTTAGGTATATGACAATTTACAGTGTACTTTTAAGATTTTACTCACCTTGCATGGGGCAAGCTATGATGTTTGTGTAATTTGTTGTCTATCAATTCTCTGTATGTTATCTTTCATTTCTCAAGGTTTATGTATTTTGCGTGCGTGTATAATAGTAACACTATTTCAGCACATGTTCGATTATTTCTGTTATTAACAAAAAAAAAACCACTATCCTGAAGGATCGTGAATTATCATGACACAGTGAGGATTTTTACATATGTATCTAAACAAATTTCAGCAATCTACAATGCACAATTTGTAAAACAATAATAATATACTATTGTGTGAAAAGGATATTGCTTCTTTTTATGATTCATTTCGCACAAAGCATATAAGCGATCACGTGAACCTATGATACAAGATATGTACACTGTGTTGTGTACTTTTTTAACAATTCTATAACAGTCAGTTGTCACACAGGAGATATATAAGAATAATAATAATGTTTGAAAATTAACAATAATAGTAAATAGATACAAATAAAAAATGCCAGGGGTCAAATAAAAAGTAAGAGACATTGAAAACATTAAATTGGGAGCACTAATTCAAGGATGTAGTTGATGATTAGATATGGATCTAAAAAAAAATCACATAAAAAAACTATAGCAAACTTTAGGCGTCAGGTATCTGATTGTAATAGTGAACGGATATAAACAGGTTGGAATATATGACGCCATATTAGTGCGACACTCTTACTTACGAAACAAAATGGCGTCCTACTGTTTCACCGTCACTCGGTTGCGGGTAGGAAACTTTAATTTTTATCTTATCACAGATGTGAGCTCTCATTCTAAATACAATACATATGAGAACACGTGCATTTCTTGTGTGGTGTCCACTAACGACCGTTTACGATTTGTTTATTGCGGATAAAATGCATATTGGCGTGCGCACTGTGTTGTTGCTAGCCAGGTCACAGTGTCCCTGGATGACTCGAAGGTGTGACGCATGTAACCGTGCATACACCGTGTCCGGTTTGACTTGAACTAATATTAAACCATGTTATATCTTATACGTTGTCAAATTAGATAAAAACAACTTTTCATTCACCTGTAATCCGATTTGAGTTTTACAAGGTGATAGCAAGGTTAAACAATCTAAACAAATATTGATGGGATTGCTGCTGCGACTCTTTTCTGCCATTACTTGCATCTGTTATATGGGTTGCCATGGTGTCACGTGAGAGATTTTTTTTTTCTTAAATGTTTGCAGTAGGTCATATATTCACTGGTGTCCATTGTGACATTAGTCTTGAGTTTTCAGAGAAATACACTTTAGAGTAAACAGAATTCTTGAAGAGTTAACAGTATTTATTTTTGCTATACTAGATATAAAAAAACCCCCGTCAGTAATCAAGCCATTTAATGTAAACTGTCATTTTGTCAGTTTCATCAGCGTGATCAGTTTTGGGGACAAAAATGTTGGACTCTAACCCTGGTTTATAGGCCACACCCATGCCTTGATTTCAGTCTGTGCTCTCACTCGATCATCATTTTATTGCCTTGCTTTTTCTTATTGAGTTACTGTGTAATTTCAAACCTGTAGTCTATTCTTAAACCGTACAATAAAAATCATGTTAGTTCCTGGAATCTGATTTTGCTTTTCCTGGTGCAGCTGGCCCTTGTAGCCGGTGCAAGGCAGCTGCATATGTCTGCTGCCCTCAGTGCCAAGGCCAAAGTGGCTATGAGCCGCTTTGAGCCTGGTTCCAGTATTAACTATGAGCAGATGCATGAGAACATCAACATTGTGCGAAAGAGGTCAGTTCCCCAGTGGCCCCTTCCTGCTCATATGGTTCACTGCTGCAACTTGCTAATATTTCCGTCTCCTCCATCAGACTCAACAGACCTCTCACTCTGTCTGAAAAGATTGTGTACGGTCATCTGGATGATCCGGCAGGGCAGGAAATTGAGCGCGGTCGCACTTACCTGCGCTTGCGTCCGGACCGCGTGGCGATGCAAGATGCTACGGCTCAAATGGCAATGCTCCAGTTCATCAGCAGTGGTCTACCCAAAGTGGCAGTGCCCTCCACCATCCACTGTGATCATCTGATTGAGGCGCAGATCGGAGGGGCTCAGGACTTGCAGAGGGCTAAGGTGAGCACAAACACTAACCCCAATCCAGTAGATCCAGTCAGTGTCATGCTCAGGTCTCAAAACGTTTGTCTCTGTTGTGCACAATTGCGCAGTAGTTGTTTATGTTACCTGGGTGACCCTCGGGACAAGTTTCAAGCTACACGGGTAATACTTCACTACTTACTTCTGACACAGGAAATGAACCAGGAAGTTTATAATTTCCTGGCAACCGCTGGTGCCAAATACGGAGTAGGCTTCTGGAAGCCAGGTTCAGGAATCATCCATCAGGTACGCGATAGAAAAGATAAATTGTACTATTAATGTCGCCGTTTTCATCTAACAGTGCCATAGGTTTCCGTGGCTCCAATTGAGGCAGTGTTGGCATCATGTTGACCACTTTTGCTTTTGCATGGGATGTGCCTCCTGCGTTGTGCAGATCATCTTGGAGAACTACGCGTATCCTGGGGTGATGCTGATTGGTACCGACTCACATACTCCTAATGGTGGCGGTCTGGGTTGTGTCTGTATCGGCGTTGGTGGAGCTGATGCTGTGGATGTCATGGCCGGAATCCCCTGGGAGCTCAAGTGTCCCAAAGTGAGTTCTTTCCATCATTTTGGACACAACTTGGATTTTCTCGACGAGTTTTGAGCGTATTTGTTTCCATTTTTGTATTCTCGACCCGGTTGCGTTTTGCCTTCAGGTAATAGGAGTGAAGCTAACAGGCTCCCTCTCAGGCTGGACTTCTCCAAAGGATGTCATCTTAAAAGTGGCCGGAATACTGACTGTTAAGGGTGGCACAGGAGCCATTGTCGAGTATCATGGGCCTGGAGTTGACTCGATTTCTTGTACAGGTAGGGAGGATGTGTCAGATCAACTGAAAGCCGGGGTAGGTCCACCTTTTTACAATATTGTTGCAGCTTAGTGCTTTTCTCTAAGATTTAGGTGATCCTTTTTTCTTACCAGGTATGGCCACCATCTGCAACATGGGTGCTGAAATTGGCGCAACCACATCCCTTTTCCCCTTCAACCACCGCATGAAGACTTACCTCGAGAAAACTGGTCGGGGAGGTCAGTTATTTCGACAGTCTTGTGCTCTTTAGTCGGAATTCGATCATCCGTCCGCATTAGTGTGATTCACGATTCTTTTCTATTCCTTCCATAGAGATTGCCGCTCTCGCGGATAAGTTCAAAGATGACTTGGTTCCTGATAATGGTTGTGAATATGACCACAACATTGAGATTAACCTGAGTGAGGTGCATTATATTTTTCAAGTGTTTTAAATATTTAATGATTTCAATGAGTTATTCAGTGTTAATTCCTGAACCAAAAAAAAAATACAACTAGTTGTTGGAGAAATACTAGCCTGCATACTGACCACGTCGATGTGTCCTTCCTCCTGTCACATGTTCCGCCTCGCTGTCCATTCTGTATTGTTGGACACAAATTCTGCTCCTTTGTGTAGTTGCAAACATACCCACGTAACGATTGTCTTGTCTCGTCTTTATTCATTGTTTAACTCTCGTCACAGTTGAAGCCACACATCAATGGGCCTTTCACCCCTGACTTGGCCCACCCAGTGTCTGACATCGGTGCCATTGCTCAGAAGAGCGGCTGGCCCCTCGAGGTTAAAGTCGGTCAGTCTTTATTATTTTAATGTCGAATACTTTGTCGAGTGAAATGGGATATTTCTTTCCTTTTTGCCACCAGCTGTGTTATCGACCTGCTGAGATCACATTACTGCTGAATCAGGAAGCTCAGAGTTCTCTTTCAACTCTGCTGGAGGAATATGCACCCAATACACAACATAATTGATCACCAAGCTAACTCGTATTGTAATGACGATGAATTTATACAGCATAAATTCTGAGAAATAGTTGTATCAAAAGATGAAAAACAGCCATCCGTGTAATTTGTGTTCCGCGCCCCTGCAAAGAACAACTCTAATGATCAACCTATTCTGAATGAATACCTCTGACATTGGATCTCGTTAGATTGGGCATGTTTCCCTAATGTGGGCTGTGACACGAAACCTTGCAGGTCTGATTGGCAGCTGCACAAACTCAAGCTACGAGGACATGGGCAGAGCCGCCTCCCTTGCCAAGCAGGCCTTGGATAAAGGCATGAAGTGCAAGGCCCAGTTCACAGTCACCCCTGGTTCAGAGCAGATCCGTGCCACCATTGAGAGGGACGGATATGTGAGTCAGAACCTCGTACTATGATTAATTTATCAATTGGCATAGTTATTGACATATAAGCTGTGTGTGTGTGTGTGTGTGTATGCATGGAAGAAATTGGAAAGGACCTCTTGCCAATTAATGTTGTCTTATCTAGGCCAAGATCCTGAGCGATGTTGGTGGGATTGTACTGGCCAATGCATGTGGACCTTGCATTGGCCAATGGGACAGGTACGAGTTGCACGGTCTCGTTCAATGACCAGAGTTCATCATGTCAATTTAACATGCCCTACATATTCACTGTCAACAGGAAGGATGTCAAAAAAGGAGAGAAGAACACTATCGTTACTTCCTACAACAGGAATTTCAGTGCTCGCAACGATGCTAATCCAGCTACACATGCTTTTGTCACTTCCCCCGAAGTAAGCATTGCTGCGGGTGCAATCCCAGAGTCACCGATGTGTTGACATATAGTTCACTGGCCTCATATTTGCAGAAAGCAGTCCAATCATAAACTAATCTATTTGAAAACTACCATCACTCACGTATAGTTCACATTGTTAATTGACAATGTTTGAGCGTGTCAAAATTAAGCATTATAAACTCTCACAGTTTTGGTCATTGTGACTTGTTGTTGTTTCTGTGCTTCTTCTGTAATTCTTTGTAGATTGTCACTGCTTTGGCTCTCGCTGGGACTCTGAACTTCAACCCAGAGACGGACTACTTGACCGCTCCTAACGGAGAGAAATTTAAATTGGAACCCCCCAGTGGTGATGAGCTCCCCTCCCGAGACTTTGACCCTGGCCAAGATACCTACCAGCATCCTCCAGCTGAAGGCAGCTCGGTTAAGGTCAGCTCACGCAATTCACTTTCAATGGTGGGACAAACCTGAATGAAAACCAGTTAGCACAGTAGTACGCTACACACTGTCAAGTATTGTTAAAATACAATCAGTTGTCGTCTGTATTTTAAAGAAAAGATGGAAAACAACACTGTCTCATATTTGATGTGTCCAGGTGGATGTAAACCCTTCCAGCAACCGCCTGCAGCTCTTGGAGCCCTTTGACAAGTGGCACGGAAGAGACCTAGAAGACATGAAGGTCCTAATAAAGGTGAAATGAAAGGCTCTCTTTTCTCAAAATATTTACGATTCGTGAGCTGCCTTGTATACACACAAAATATGGCTTTCTTGACATACTCTCGCTAGTTACAGGCTAACAGAAATGAGTATGGCACAACATGGTACTACACTAAAGGCACATAACTCTAAATTTAGAGTTCTCTGTTTACTGTATGACCCCCCCCCCCCCAAAAAAAAAGGTGACTTAAAAATCTACAACGGCGCAGGGACACAATGAATCGCGATATAGGACACGACTGACATTCCAGTTTCTTGATATTCTTCTCATTTTAATCTTTTAGGTGAAGGGAAAGTGCACTACGGATCACATCAGTGCCGCCGGTCCCTGGCTGAAATTCCGTGGTCACCTCGACAACATCTCTAACAATATGCTGATCGGTGCTGTTAACACAGAGAATGATGCAGTCAACAAAGTTAAGAATCATCTTACTGGAGAGTATGATGGAGTGCCGGATGTCGCTCGCCACTATAAGGTGAGCTCCAAGTGTTGGCATTTGATGGCTTGGATTGAAATACGCTCTTTATCACGGGGTATAGGTTCTGGACCCTCCTAACTGAAAATCTGCAATTGAGAAAGACCATATAATTTTTTATTTTTTTTTTACATATAGTTTTACTTCAGCCACTTCAGAATATATTCTTTAAACCTGTGTAGTTACCCCCCCCCCCCTTAATGCAATACTTAACATTTGACATTTTCTGGGCATCATATATTGTTCAAGTCATTACTTATGGTAGGTTTTAACCTCACATGCCAAAAAATGTGCTCTGAGCGGTAAAAAGATCAATGATGATTGATCATTTTGGTGAGTGGCGATTTGGTGTTTATCGTCACCGAACCACACTTGACAGCAGCCTTTCCATCTATCTCACTAAGGCCAATGGAGTCAACTGGGTGGTGATTGGAGATGAGAACTACGGTGAAGGATCCAGCAGAGAGCACGCTGCCCTGGAGCCTCGACACCTGGGCGGACGCGCGATCATTGTCAAAAGTTTTGCTCGAATCCACGGTAAGTTTTTAAGAGAAATTTGAAGACTACCTTGATAGCAAAAACTCGACCCAACCTCGATCCATGCATTTTCTACTCCACTTAATCTCAAAACTGGAACACGCATCTTACCTGTAGTGAGAGTATATGCAGTACTGATCACCTTGGAACTTTTAAAAACATCCACAGACCCCAACATATTGTTTTTTAAGGTCCTTTATCTTTATCTCATTCTCTTTTTTTTTAAGATTGAAGTAGGGAATGTCTTTTTTTTTTTTTTTTTGTATTGTTATGGTTGTCTATTATATATATATTTTTTAATCATCAAAATGTATTTATTTTACAGAGACTAATCTGAAGAAGCAGGGTCTGTTGCCACTTACTTTTGCTAACGCAAGTGACTATGACAAAATTCGCCCCGACGACCACATTTCAATCACCGGCCTGAAATCCTTTGTCCCTGGCAAGGTAAGCCAAGCCCTGCATCCCTTAAACAGTCATAAAGACTGTTATTCTTGCCAAAAATACACTGACAACAACAGAGAGGTCTCAATTGTTCATCCTGGTGGTTGTAGTTTACGTTGCAGTGCAGTCTTACAGCACTGCAAATTACAACCACAAAGATAAACACATTGGAGTGATTCCTGACTGGAGTGAGACTAACCCACGAGTCATTAAATGATCTGTTTCCTCCTCCAGCCACTGATGGCGGTCGTCAAACATCGTGATGGCAGCCAAGAGTCCATCTCCCTAAACCACACTTTCAATGAGACGCAGATTGAGTGGTTCAAAGCTGGCTCCGCCCTCAACAGGATGAAGGAGCTCCAGTAATTGGTTGAGGGAAGGAAGGTGAAGCTTATAGTGGCCATCGAAGGTCCTCAGCATGGATGATGAAGGTGAAAAATGTGAACGTAGAGGAGGAAGAGACCGTTTATGATAACCACACTTGTACGGTAATCCTTTTTGGAAAGGACACATTTGCACACACAAGGTCGCTGGACAGATGAAAAGCGCACACAGCCACAGATTGGATTGCACAATGCAGAGTCAAGCGCAGCAAAAGCCCAGCCAATTTAGTGTGAGAAGCTTAGCAAATCTTATATTTCAGGGTTGTAGCACACTAAGTGGTTGTGCTCCTTATTTTAGTCACACACACACTGCATTTAAGCGCGTGCATATATCATAGAGAGAGAGAGAAAATGAGTGAGAGAGAAGACTACTGTATGTTAGATGTTAAATAACATCTCTGTATTATCCGTCCAAACTGAATTTCAAAGCAGAAGGTTGTTCAGCCCACACTCCTCTCTGTAAAAAAACAAAAAAATGTGTTTGTTGATCTTTTCTGGTGTAATTATTGACTTGGACGTCTTCCTTAGTTGATTTCAATTTTGCAAACAAAATACCCCCCCACTCCATAATCACGGTACAAGGCCTTTTACTCTGATGTGCGCAGGAATATCTGTATGTTTCTCGACCGTCTTTCTTACTGCAAACCATTTACATGCTGCTACTATTCTTAGTATTAACTTGCCTTTTTATGTATTTGTGCATTTGCGAAATCTGCAGTGGGGAAAATTTGGGTGACTGAAGAGGTGAGATTAATTAATGCTTTCTTACCTTCCTTACCTGTAACATGATATATTGGCATCGAATGAATGACTGAATGAATGAATTAATGTGTATTTTTTGGGGGGTGGACGGGAGGTTGGTCCTATATAGAGCTTTGTTATACTACCTAACACACAATGTAGTAGCCTCTACACTGGCCCTTTGTGTCTTAGGTACTTTTAGATTAGTTATTTATCCTAAATCTATGATTTGTGTGATTATTTTAGCCCTGATAGATCATGAGATAATTCAGTCTTCACACATGAGTTCTTCAACAATGTTCTCAGTTCGCTGTATCCCATATGTGCAGTGCCGAAATCATGAGGTTGTTTTTATTTTTGTTTTCTTGTTCTACTCTACAGAATAAATACTTTTTTTTTTTAATATAGTGATGAACGCTCCATAAATGTGCTTAAAGGTCACAGTTTGTTGTAAATGATTTGCTACATTGCTGCACTATGTGTGGACGTGTGTACATAAAAAACAAAATAATATATATTCAAGTGAAATATACTGTGGGTTGCCAGTCCCGATGAGAGCTGTATCCATTTATGGTCCCTAATCATAATTAGGATATCTATAGTTACACAAAAGTTGTTAATACAAAAAAAAATTTACTTGTTACATCTTTGACAATATGAATTATTCCACTTGTGTTATCAGTCCGTACAACGTACAAGCATATGTTAAAATTTTTGAGAATCATTAACGATTTCTCCTATTGTGAAGCAAGCTGATTCAATATTGTTCATGGGTTGCAATCTTTCAGTTGAAAAAAAAATAAAATTTCATCTGTCACTTATCAACCGGTCAAATTGCCCATTTTTATACTTCAATGGTCTGTTTTCACAAAATGAATCGTATGAGAACTTGATTATTCCCACAACTCTCCATTTTATAATTGAGTATGATTTTGTAGCCATTTTCATTTTGTATGCATACAATGCTAATGATTGATGTATTAAAATAATCAAGTTCATTTGGCTTTTGGAGTCTTGTAAAAAAAAAAAAATTAAAAATAAAAATAGCAAAGGTTAGTGAACCAAGATCTTACCTTTTTTTAACGTAATCGATCTAAATTCACCTGATTGTGCATGCAAGCATTTCTAAAGTTGGCCTACTTACGAGCCCATTAATAAGTATACAAAGTTTTTTTAAAAAATACATCTGAAAAGGACAGATTATAAATCTATAATTGCCAATGATCAGTGCTTGACATCAGACATAAGAAAAACACCACTGTACCTTTAAATTTCGTGACGTCAGGTTTTTATGTCGTAAACCTACCAGAACTGGCGTAAAATAATTAACTATAAATAAATCACATGGTGGCACCATGTTTCCTGCGCCATCAACAACAACTTTGCGTTTGTTTTGGCATGCTTTCATTAGATGTGTTCGATAGGTGAGAAAGCGAAATATTATTCAGCCCTCACATGTAGCTCACACACTCGTCCTTGTGTTTGGGTTTGCGTGTGTTCCGAGTTTGCACCATGTTTGTGTTAGTGGAGATGGTGGACACAGTCAGGATCCCTCCGTGGAACTTTCACAGACAGCTCAACGAGGCTGTTTCCGAAGAGCTGAACAAAAAGCTGGCTAACAAAGTGAGTCTACGTCGCTACGTGCTTAAAACTTGGCTTGTTGTGCGCACGCGATGTACTGTTGTTCAATTGTTTGGTAAGTTAGGACGGGTTCGGTTGAGGTACCGCATCATGCTAAGTGATCCCTTTTCTACTTAATGATAACACTCTCTTCGTACCTCAGGTGGTCTACAATGTCGGCCTCTGCATCTGCTTGTATGACATCACAAAACTGGAAGATTCCTACATTTTCCCAGGGGATGGTGCCTCGCACACTAAGGGTATGATGAGCTGTTATTGCTGCTTCTCGTTGTCCACTACCTCCTTGTTCACTACTTTTAGCCTAAAATGAACAAACTGTTGCCATTTATTTATTTACAAATTCAATCACTCCTTGAAGAACAACCAAAACATGATCTTATTGCAAAAGTCATGTGTCATCCTGTTTTTTTTTCTCCCCCGTTTTCAATTTTAAGGCAGTAAGTAATCTTAAAAACATCTTGAATTCAGTTTTATGTAACCTCTATGACTTGGAACATAAGATGAGATGGTCTGTTTAAAAGTTACAACATCCTTTATATGATTTTACCTTTTCTTCCCTTTTTTGGTCAGTTCATTTCAGGTATGTTGTTTTCCACCCGTTTCTGGACGAGATACTGGTCGGCAAGATCAAGTATTGCAGTCAGGAGGGCGTTCATGGTAATCCCACTTATGAATTTGCTAGAATTTATTTTGCTAATTTTTTTCCTCTGTCTTATTAAAATAAACATCTCCATTTGAAGTAATTTGAAAAATGTGTTGAGAACTCTGACATTTCAAACTGTTTCCATTCCGCAGTGACCATGGGCTTCTTTGATGACATTCTCATCCCGCCAGAGTCTCTTCAACAACCCACTAAATTGTATCCTTTCAAATGTTACATACAATTAAGTTTCTTTGGGTGTGTGATATTTTCAAACAATTGGTTTATAGCGTAAGTTGTAGTCTTCCTTAGCTACAACTCAAGTGATGAAGCCGAGCAAGTTTGGCTTTGGGAATATGAGACAGATGAAGGCGCACATGACCTCTACATGGACCAGGGAGAGGAGATCCGCTTTCGAGTGGCGGATGAGATATTTGTAGATACGTCACCAACGGGCCCGACGACTGACACGCCAGCAGCCGAACCTGGCCAGCAGCCGGCTCCGCCTCCGGCACAAGATACCGGCGAGAAGAAAGATGCGCCATATACTCTCATAGTAAGATCTGCTATTCAACAAACTGACAGTCATTCCACTTTGCTGAGTTAATTCCTCTTTGCCAGTGTCAAAAGTAAGCATTATATTCTTTATGAAGGCAAACATTTTAATAGATGCCTTATATTGGAAATCATTCGAATGTGCCCGTAACATTTGTACCTAAAGTTGTGGCTACTGAGTGTATGTTAAAATATTTAGAATAGTGTACCAGACACTGTTTCTTGTCTTAGGGGACCATTTGTGAGCCAGGCCTGGGGCTGCTGTCATGGTGGAACAACTAGCAGGAAGAGGAGATCATTTGGACGATCATCATCATCATCGGTCTGGGAGACTTGTGGTTGGATCAAAACGAGCAAATTTAGCAGACTAAAACTGAACATTGGTGACAGAACACAGTGACAGATCGCACTGAGGAAAATCTTGGGCAAAATCCACCTAAAAGACATGCAAGCATCATGTTTATTATGAATTCATCTTTGTGGTATCTTCCATGCGAATTGATCCATAAGTATCCTCCTTTAGTTATTATATTTCACATTGGTCAGCGCTAATCAATGAAAACGAATTAATTCATTAAGTCAAGTAAGTATACTAATAAGAGTGGGTGTGATATTAAGAAAAAAAACAAATTGGATCATTTTCTTTTTTTCCTCTTTCACGTTGAATTCCAACAAAAGACAATAAGGTGCTTCCATCGCTGACACAGGGTCGTTTTTTTTTTTTTTTTTTTTTAACAGTCCAATTTACTGCCTATTGTGGCATTTGAGATGACTTTGTGAGACTTTGCGAGAGCAGAAAACTGCAAGTTTCACTTTGTGTGGAGATTTACTGTCAGAATTAAGAAAGGGACGCCACTTATTATTCATCAGGCCCTTCAGATCTCAAACGCTTTTTTTGCTGTTGTAGCGGTCCGCTTATGCCGTGTCGCTCGGTGTTTGGTGTGCCTAACTGGGACTTAATCGTGATGAAGTTAGGCAATATGTGAGTGACGAGAAGATAAACTCAAAGGTGATGAATTAAACCCACAAGCATGCTTTTCTGTAATGTTTAATGTCTTTTTGGAAAGTATTGCTTGTCTCTTCCAAACAATGAATCCCCACCGAGGGAGAGGATGACGAACGCACAGCCCGTCAATTTCTGCAATTAATAATCCCATTTAAACTCTCTTAATTATGCAGATTAATAACCAAATTTTCTTAACTAATACGCCTCGTCGCCGTGCGCTTACATCACGGAAGAGACGTTCAAAAGCAGAGTTTTCCGCCACAGCGAGCGCACTTTCCGACGCATCAAGTCCCCTCGCAGGGTGGAGGAGCGTATTGCGCATGCGCACTCTCGCATCACGCCATCGGAAACCACCGCCAGCTGCGCACGCCCGCCGTCACATCGGGTTTTCCCACTTATTTATTTAATTTGACCCTTATATAATGCCACGCATCCACTCAACGCACACTTTGGCACAGTGAGCCGACCGTCCAACCAGCCGGTGGGTCCGCTGCTGTAAGTAACATTTCGTCTTCATAATGCATCGTGGTCGTTGGGGAGCCAAAGCAGAGGGGCAGTCAGTGGGGGAGCCTTTGTTTTTGGATGGGCACGGCTCGTTGGACAGGAAGTGAAAATACCGTTCAAATATCGTGTAGCGGTTGACTAGTGTGGCTGCTTAGAGTCTTAAATTGCTAGTCATCAGATTCTCTTTTTATACCATCCGTAATTTACTGTGAGAGTCTGCTCGAAACGAGATTAAAGCAAATATTTTGTATCATGTTTTCCTTGCATTGGCTTGTTAATCAGCTTTCCGACTCGCTCCAGTGTCATTGTGTCACCGTTTGCTCCTCCTGTTTTGTATTATTGCCGCTACTTCCAAATAAAGATAAGCTTAGAGTCTTAAATTGCTAGTCATCAGATTCTCTTTTTATACCATCCGTAATTTACTGTGAGAGTCTTCTCGAAACGAGATTAAAGCAAATATTTTGTATCATGTTTTCCTTGCATTGGCTTGTTAATCAGCTTTCCGACTCGCTCCAGTGTCATTGTGTCACCGTTTGCTCCTCCTGTTTTGTATTATTGCCGCTACTTCCAAATAAAGATAATGTGATTTCTATAGCATAGTCATCTGGGAATTGGGGACGGGGTTGCTGACGTCACTCCTCGGTGGCCTCCTGCAGCTGTTCTGACGTCACCCGCGAGCATCACATACAGGAGTGGGCGTGAGACGCACACAGAGCAGAGTGGCTTTACAGCAGTGCAATGAATCATCCCTCTTAAATCAATTATGAAGAAATCATGTAAAATGTTGCTTTGTTTAAAGACTAAACTAGACTCCATAAATTCTGCTTGGAAGCTTTTTTTTTTTTTTTTTTTTAATA